TTCGCCGATGACATTGCATTGCTGAGTAACTCAGGGGACGAATTGCAACTCATGATTACGGAGTTAGACAAGGAGAGCAGAAAGGTGGGTCTTAAAATTAATCTGAAGAAAACGAAAGTAATGTACAACAACCTCGGCAAGGAGCAGCGCTTCGAGATAGGTAATAGTGCACTTGAAGTTGTAAAAGACTATGTCTACTTAGGGCAGGTAATAACCGCAGAGCCGAACCACGAGATTGAAGTAACTAGAAGAATAAGAATGGGGTGGAGCACATTTGGCAAGCACTCTCAAATTATGACAGGTAGATTGCCGCTATCCCTCAAGAGGAAGGTATATAACAGCTCTAACTTGCCGGTACTTAGCTACGGAGCAGAAACCTGGAGACTTACAAAGAGGGTTCAGCTTAAATTGAGGACGACGCAGCGAGCAATGGAAAGAAAAATGGTAGGTGTAACCTTAAGAGACAAGAAGAGAGCAGAGTGGATTAGGGAACAAACGGGGGTTAAGGATATCATAGCTGAAATCAAGAAGAAGAAATGGACATGGGCAGGGCATGTAGCGCGTAGACAGGATAACCGCTGGTCATTAAGGGTAACTGACTGGATTCCCAGAGAAGGGAAGCGGGTTAGGGGGAGACAGAAGATTAGGTGGGCAGATGAGATTAAGAAGTTTGCGGGTATAAATTGGCAGCAGCAAGCACAGGACCGGGTTAACTGGCGGAACATGGAAGAGGCCTTTGTCCTGCAGTGGACGTAGTCAGGCTGATGATGATGATGATGATGATGATGATGTAATTGCTTTGTCTGTTCTTTCAAACCGACAAGTATACTGGAGGATAAGCGAGGAGGGTGTCACAGGGAAAAAAAAAATTACACCATCTGCATGTCGTGACATAGTACAATTTTCCATTTTTTTCCATCCAATGCACAGCTCACTTTCAATGTGAACACCAGCACATGCGCGGGCACATGGTGGCCTTTGTGGCGACCACAATAACTATGCAGCCCATGATGCTCAAATCAGACAAAGAGCATGAATGTGGATGTATGGCATCATATGTAGAAAGAAGATGGAATGATTTCAAACTGACTTTGACAATAAATTGTAAATATTCAGTACACAGGCTGAGCTATAATGTTTGGTTCATGTTTTTTCTGAAGCCTCAGCTACCGATCGGCAGCACTTTTTTACCATGCTGAAAAAGTGGTGCAGGGCCCCTTTAACAAAAAAAAAGTTACATTATTGAGATAAAAAATACCCCAATCTGCTTTCATCCCAATAATTAATCACCAACTGCCCAACACCCATAGTCTTCCAACAATTTTTTAGTATAATAAACCCAACATGTAAAGCTAATCCTTTCCAAACATCGATATATATGTTTAAAAACAACGGTTTCAAAATCTTCGTGTTACCATGTTAAGTGGAAAAATAATTTTTTCTAGGAATGTAATGCATTCTTTTAAGAACATGAACAAGAATGCAGGACAGCATAAATATAGATCTATTTCATTAAAATGAACTGCAGTGAAAAAGAAAATGGCTTGTTTCTATTCCCATGAAGACAGATTAGGCCACAGTATTTGCAAGTGTATAAGTTGCACACTTTATGAATGACACATCTTTTCATAACCCATCACAGTGTAAAAAGTTCGCATAAGTGATTTATGCAAATGAATGCAAGGCAAAAAAGCTTGGGTGGCTTGCAACCACTGTAGTGAAATAAAGGCAATGAAAACATTGTACGTTCAATTATATTTCCAGCTTTCAAGCTTAGGGAAAAAATAAATAAATGGTGCAGCTGCAGCAGTGCAATTACACTACAGAAAAGCAATTAAACAATGCCACTAAAAATGGCTAAGAAAGTAATCTTTGGAAATTGGTTTGCAAAGCTATGCACACTAGGTGATTTCTATAGATTATAAAAAAAAGAAATAAAAGAAGGAAGAGGTATGACAATTGTAATTTCCACTCAATGAGGATAGGTATAATAGCTTATTTAGCCAAGGCACGCGACCCTGTCTCGCAATATTTGCAATCGTGACGTCTGCATAGTGAAAGGTTTTCTGTAGTCATTACTCTCCTTGAAAACTTTGCAGAATTGGTATTTTCTAGCCTACTCTGCATTCTGAAAAGGCACTGTTTCTTTAGTGTGGGTACAAGTAAAAACAGTGTGCAGTTACAATGTGCACTTTATAATCTGGTGCTCTGTGGTGTTAATAGCCAGCAATAATTAGCTGCAAAAGCTTGCAAAACACTAAAAAGAGTTCTTGCAATTTGCAAATACAGGGGTACATGTAGTTCTTATAGTTCTCACACACTACAGACTTCTCCGTTTTATCATGCAAAAAGACTAAAGCATCGGCAGTTCCTAGACCTTAATTTTCCCTTATCATGCTCTACAATCAGCTCCCCATGTACTGCTTATCATTCTGGCATTGAGGTGCCCTTGTGCTTGCCTCTAGCAACTTCTTCAGTTGCCTTCACTACTTTTGGAAGAATGGAAACTTAGACTTCAAGAAAAAAATTAAGACAGTTTCACACTAAGAGTGCCAAGCCTGAAGGAAGCACAGAGCTGGGCAGCCTTCTCTGCTTTTTTTTTTTTCTGTTTAATTTCTTCTCTGTTTCTCCCTTTTTGTCTCATCTTTCTATTTTATGTATTTTTTGTCTCTGTTTATTACAACTTTTTTCTCTCTCTACATATTTCTTTGTCTTTCTTATTCTTTCTATCTTTCACTTTCTTCTGCTTCTTTCTCTCTGTCTCTATATCTTCCTCTCTGTTAGTTTTTCTTTATGTCTTTTTTTATTCTTTCTTTCTTTCTTCCTATGGTGTCCTTCTTTTATTCTCTCTTTTTCTCTCTTGCTTCCTCTCCCTCTCTTTCTTTCCATGTTGTGTTTTACTCTCTCTTCTCCTCCTTTCCCTCTTCCTTCCCTTTCCCACAACCTTGCAATAAAATAAAAATCTATGCTCTGCTCTGCTAGCCTGCCTGGGTAGCTGAGTTGTCAGGACACTCATCTTCGGAGCGTGGATTCTTGGGTTCACATCTCGTCTCGCCAAGAATTTTTTTTTTTCACCAAGGGTTTCTCTTTTTATCTATCTGTTCGTTTCTTTTCCTTTCTCTCTCTGTACATGTTCTTTGACCCATCAGAGTTATTCTGCCCCATGCCAAAGAAATTGGCATGTGTTTCGTGAGCAAAGCAGGAGCTAAAGAAGAGAACTGAGAGGAAGAAGAGAATGAAGAGAGAGAGAGTGTTAATTTACGACGATGATAGTTTTTACTTGCACTACCCAGCGCAATAAAAAGTTTAATGAGCTCCGCTCTTAAATACACAGTATTTGGGGACTATTTCGGTCACACGCTATGCAACTGGCTTGCTCGCATTTACTTTCTTGAAAACCCGGCTTGCACCACTTTTCTATTAAGAATGCTATGTCATGCTGGTGGCATGCCACTGTTTGTTACCAGAAAGTGTTGGAACTGCAGTGATAACTCAAGGAAAGTACGCGAGATAGATGATAATTATAGTAGTTGTGTAGCAGAAATGCAAATACTCTATTTCTTCTTACAGTATGTGCTATAACTATAAGGAGAGAGTCTTAAAAGTAGATAAAAAGGATGAAATGCAACTTATAGCTTTTCTAAATATGCGGATTTTTTGGTACCTTATATTCAAGATGGCAGAGACTGTCGATTTCTTAGAATGCAATATCGGGAGTAAAAAGCAAGGAGAGTGCTGTTGCGGAATTATGCAACGATAAAACTTCTAGATGTCAAGAAACAGTACCAGTGACTACATCATACGTTTAAGACAGCTTTTTTAACAAATCCCACATGAGTGTTGTCAGCCTAGCAATGTCAGTCGTGCAGTCAGGTTTTATGGCTATACCAACAGAATAGATTCGAAGCAGTCGTTCCACTGCATGTTACAAACGAATTCTGATGCAAGCACCAAACCAACCTTCTCACAAATGGTTTACAGTGTGAAACATTACTACTGCAGTCAAGCTTTCTTTTTCATCTTGAAAGCAGAATGTGGAGAAGTGCAATGGCTCAATTCTGATGAAATTAGTAACCGAGCAACACTGTGACATATGATGCAAAGTTAGCATCACTTTTACTCCCTGGAAGTCTGAAAGTAAATGTAGTAAAAAATGACAGAACAGTTTTTTTGAATTCTAGCTAGTATACGTTATTTATCAAAATGTGTTATTCGTGACTGATTGAGCAGCTGTTACCACAAAGTTTACGAAGTCTGCTAGTTTACAGAAAATAAATTATTAATCTTGTTTGTTCATAGTTTGAGATAATTATAGTGCTTTGTTTGTGAATATAATCCTTGCTGAGAAATTACATACATTCATGTCAGCAACATCAAAATTGCATCGTTGCATCACAAAAGGCTTTTTAATTCCAAAGTTTGACTATGGGCCACGGCAATTAAGATATATACATTAGTAAAAGCTTGTGAGTAAAAGCTCACGCGAAATTATGCATTACATTCTTTGCAACTTAGGCAACTTATTGATGCCAACAATTTTTTATGAGATGTCTGTTGTGTGTCCTATGGGATTATCATTGAACGATTTGCATTATTTTGCCCACAGCTTCAATGGTATTATGTATAACAAGCCATGGCTTACCTACCACTGGGCATTTATGCAGAATACAGCAATAATCGCTCTTGATTGCAGTGAAGTCAGCTATCTGACTACAATTTACCATAAAGTCCATTAATAAAATAGGCAAGGACAGCGCTATAATACAAAAATAAAGGTACCAGAGTGCTGAAGCAGATCTCCTGATCTTTGTGATGTTACTGCATGTGCATAACATAAAGAAACAAACAAGGAAAAAGAATACTGCAAGGATGAGCGTCAAGAAACTGTGTTCTTTGATGTTGACCTAAAGCGAGAGCTAGGACTCATGACTACACCGGGAAAAGGTTTGAGGGGAACAAAAGACTGGGAGGTGTGAGGAGAAAGCACAAGAAGCCAGTACCTGCAGAGCAGCCAAGGCAGGTGCAGTGCAGTAGGACATGCACGCTCACAGCCTCACAGCATCTGTGCGGTGACCCCAAGAACCACTACCTTGCTGATTGGCGAGCCCCACAACTGGAGTGGCATGGTTGCCATGCTCTGACACTTCCATCAGCTTGCCACCACGGTTCTTGCGAGCCACCTAAAGAATGATGAAAGTACTATCAAGATAGGACAAGATTCTGTCACTTACTAACCTGTAATATTTTTTCTTGAAAAGTCACACATGCTACAATTTCAGTATTACACACAAATCAATATGTAAAAAAATTTCAAACAGAGGGTAACACATGCACACTTTACTTTCAAGTCGATTGCTGTACAGTGATATCTGAAGGCAAAACTTTTGCCTAAATGAGCACATCAACCAATGGACAACATGCTCAGTTGATGAGACTTGAGAGTCTTGCTTGATGAGACTTGAGACTTGATGCCTTGAGGTCGTTTGTTAGGGATTATTGGTCAGCTGCCATATTGTAATAAGATCACATACTACGTGACGCCGAACAGGCAAAAAAAATGTGCTCCACATAGATGACGCTCACTGAACCTCCCAGGATGACCACCATCGTAGCTCCGTGCTAGAGCATTGGACGCATTATTCAAAGGTCGCAGGCTCGGATCCTGCGTCTTTTCGTCCACTTTTCTTTTTTCACATTTACACCACAATTACTTCTAATAACATCCCCTATACTTTCCCTGGGAGTATTGTCTGTTAATTCTCATTCATTATTTACCTAACAAAGAGAACACGCCCTTAAAATTCACGCTTTTCTTCATTCATAGAGTCTTGTGCTGGTAGACTTGATGCCTTGAGGCAGTGTGCGAGGGATTACTAATCAGCCGCCAATCTTTTAAATATAGGATCACATACTATGCGACGTCAAACTGGCAAAAAAAAAGGTGTTCCACACTCGTAAGCAACAGATGATGCAGACTGACGCTCCCACGTTTAAATGCACTTATATACCTTATAATATGAATGGGGGTATGACCACAATTGTAGCTCGGTGGCAGAGCATTGGATGCATTATTCGAAGTTCGCAGGCTTGAATCCTACTGGTGGGAAGTTATCTTTTCGTCCACTTTTCTATCTTAAAGTTTACACCACCATTACTTCCAATAACATCCCCTACACTCTCTGTGGCATTATTTTCTGTTAGTTCTCATCAATATTGTATCTAGTAACAAAAAAACACGAGCCATTAAAATTTACACTTTTTTTCATGCTCGCTACATAGGTTGGATGATCTGAAAAATAGAAATTGTTGCCAACACACACTATTGTCCCAGGTTAAGGATGCCAAGGTCTATTAAGCATGTGACAAATGGTAGTTCAACAAGTTACTTTTCGGCTGTTATAACTATTTTTGAGACAATGATGAGCCTCACTTATCCAGATATTTCTCTTCATTGAGTACTAAGAGCCATGGAGCTTTGGCAGCTGCTTTACCATTTAGGTGTGAATGCTCAATTGGGTTTTCACGAATGGCAGCATGAAGTGTGCCAGCTTGACAGTCACCTGTTCAACAAAATTAAGGTGTCTTTGGATATATATTTCACTAAAGAAAATAGTTACTTCTGCAATGCTCTAGTGAATCATATTTGGAATTACAACTTTGTATTATTGATTGTGAGAAAAGTGGAGCCTTGATTGATTGATATGTGGGGTTTAACGTCCCAAAACCACTATATGATTATGAGAGATGCCGTAGTGGAGGGCTCCGGAAATTTAGACCACCTGGGGTTCTTTAACGTGCACCCAAATCTGAGCACACGGGCCTACAACATTTCCGCCTCCATCGGAAATGCAGCCGCCGCAGCCGGGATTTGAACCCGCGCCCTGCGGGTCAGCAGCCGAGTACCTTAGCCACTAGACCACCACGGCGGGGCAGAAAAGTGGAGCCTCTGGCGACCTTTCTAGAGTGGACATTGCTTGACTGGAACACTTTACCACTGGCACTCCTCTGCAATTAGTTTTCTATTTCGTCGCAGGGCACGACAGTTAGCTTGAAGAGAAAAAAAGCTGTCCTACACTATGAAACATTCGTAAAGTATCTAAAAAAAATACTTAATTAATCTTCACTGTCATGGAGCGGATGGTTTCCTAAAATAGCACACATTTATTTGCTCAATGTGATAACTATAATTTCTCTTTCTTTCTGCAACATTTTTTTTTCTTTTTCTATTAGCAAGATGAAAATAATATATTTTAATGACTGATATATCAATCCCTCAAGAAATTTATGCCAGAATTGACCCAGTCAAGGTGTGGCCCTTCAGCCCCACATCTCCTTTTAACTAGACAGCAACATAAAATGTGTGTTACAGCTTACATAATGTCTGTGTAATATCTATGTAATGTCTATGAGCATGCCAAAGCATTGGAAAAAGTGATGGTGCACATCTTCAGATGCACATCAAGCTCTGATCGTGTGGGCTCTATTTTGTGCAAGATAAGATAGCTGGTAAAAGCAGAGATCGGAAGGAAAGATAGCTTCTTCAAGCCTTCCATATAAAAAGGAAAGAGTGTGCCTGTGTCAACAACACAGTTGATGAATACACATGAACTGAGCGTTTTTAATGGGCAGCTTTCATGATGACATGTTTTATGTCATGCTCACATGCCACTGCGTATGCCTACAAGCTTCAGTGTTTTCTGCTTTTGACCATTAATAAACGGTTGGTACCTGGTGCTCCTCTGTCTCTTTCCTGTTTGCTTTTATGTTTTAAGCTTTCTGTAATGAATATTATGCTTAGCAAACGCCATGTGACTAGCAATCACAGAACGTAAAATATTTCAAGAACTATCAAGTTTCATCAAATTGGCGCATTTCTTTCCTGAGAAATAATGATGAAAACCACGAATTTAAAAGCTTATGCAGTTGTGTAAGGCAATGGGTCACAAAGCTTACTAAAAATAATATTTACATTTTGGGCATATTGCTGACAAAATTTTTCAATTTATCCTTTCTACCCTAAACCTTGTATCGATCAGTTGAAAGCTCGAAGAGTAGCAGCAATACAAAAAGCCAATAGCTTACATGACCTGAAACATGTGAAGCAACTACGTTTCTTGTATAAATTAAAAACTTAGAAAATTAAGGTCTATGAAAAGAAATATTTGAATATTTGACATTCAATTTGAAAGCTACTACATATTGGGTATTTGCACATACCGAAAATTTAGATCTGAAAAAAAAAAAAAAAAATGCAACTAATTTTTCAGTGTGTACGAACGCTTACCAGTACAATTTTTAGACTCTTGAGAGCTTGGCCTTTCATTTAATGTAAAAAAAAAGAACTAAAGTATTTATGTGAGTACCTTTACTGTGCCCTTGAAAAACATACAGCAAAGTGCGTGACAAGCTTGCTTGTGAAGTAAAACACACTTTCAAAAGAACAATACAGCTTTTGAACTGTTTACTCTGTCATTAAAGCTATAACCTCCCAAGCTGAAGTTATAAACAAGCACTAAATAAGAATTATTTCAAGAACTAAGTATATTCTAAAATACAAAAATTTCCATGTTTGACTTGCATTATGCATTTAGATATCAAGAATATCAGTTTCTGTGGAGTTATCACATGTATGTCTTACATTCAATGACCAATGTTTCAGATGTTAGATTTTATGGACATGGGTTATAATTTGGATACCTTCAAGGCACTAACCATGTGCTCCACAGAAGCAATGCAGAAGAAATCTGAAATTTCAGACCACCACAATCCTTTAAACACCTCATTTTTTAAAAAATTTATACCGTGATTGAATGATCAAAGTTGAATTTATTTTTACTTGGCATACTTCCCGCAGCCAAGACATTGTAGTAGCAAGTGGGTGGCAAACATACAGTTGAAACTCGATTTACTGAAGTGATGAAGGCAATTGAACTACCACTCAAATCTTCAATGACGATGGTCTTAAGTTAAAATTCACTTTGAAAACCATGACATGTATTCAATTTCTTAATGTGTAGTTAAAATTTGGCCATGGTTATGTTGACTAAACTCACACCGAAGCCCATCAAACCCTTGCTGAACTAGTCTTCTGGTCACAGCAAACTGGTGATGAATTGAATTGCCTTTTCTAACATTAGGCCAGCCATACAAAAATCATGAGTGCTTATGATGGCTGCCAGTATTAGTGAACAGTTAAAGAAACTAAAAGATGCGGGCTCTTTACTTGTGCTTTAGCCTCAGCATCTGTAAAGCTTGCAAAAACAATAAAACATCAAAATAAACATGTTTTAGATTGCAGGAACGAAGCAAAAAAATTTTTTTTGGCTAGGTTCTATTTTATGTATGAACAGCTATACTTTATGTGTGTTTATGTGTTTGTTTGCATGCATGTGTGTGTATATACACACAAGCAAAATTTAAAATATTGGGGGGGGGGGCGGCGGCAGGTTTCACCCCCCTCCTGGCTACACCCATGGCAGGTAGTGAGCAGGTTGAAAAGAAAGTGAGCAGTTTTGCCTTATAGCATTCATCGGACCACCCATAAATTAAATGAGCTAGTCTCCAGATGTGGGTTGCACTTGGAGATTTCAGCATCGAATAAATTAGAAAAAATATGAGCTCATATTGACAGGTGGCGGCAAGAACCACAACTTTGTGATATGTACATGTTTTAAAGCGGTAGCAAAAAGAGCTCGCTTTGCAGAAATTCTGGTGTCGGCGTTGACAGTGTCATCCTTGGTTGTGCACAAAAATCGTCATTGTGCCCAAGTGAAAATTTGGGATAAATGCAAATAAATCAGTAATAAAAAAACTTTAGTTTGAGTTAGAATTGAATCCAGGCTTTCCGCACAGCAAGCAGGTGTTCTCTAACGGAGCCACACTACTGCTTGAAGCTGCCTTGTAAAAAAAAACACATTAAGAATGTCATGTAGTGGGGGGAGCCTTCCTAAAGAGGCCCCGAAGCTTCTTCGTTCTTTCTCGCCTGGCTGACGAAAGTTCTTTCTTCAACAATTTTGTTTATTTGGTGTGTATGCGCTCAAGAAGTGGCACACGACATGTTGCTTAGTTCTGAAGTCCATTTTTCATAGCAATGTCCTCGGTTCTGCGGCATGTGGAGAATCTGCAGCATACATAAAGTTTGCATTAAAAATGCATTTAAGATAATCTAAACTATGGGATC